CCAGGTTATATTCTTCAGGTTTGGTATTTGTCTTTTGGTACCGCTATTAATATGTAGTTTGTTATATTTTATTTCAGGTATTGTCACATTGTCATTATCATTATTGGTGCCAGTTATAATTTGTATTAGATTCTGTATTGATTCTTTAACATGAGATATTGCATTTTTAGTTTTACAAGCCAGCTTAAGGCTACTCATTGCGTATTGCATTGCCTTTTGGAGTATGAGATGATCTTCATTGGCTAACCTTATATCTATATCAAAAACAATTTAGAAATTATAGTTTATATTTTATATGAAAATTAGATACCAATTACCATTATTTGTATGTTCAAATGAATGCTTTGAAGAAATTGAAAAACTAGTAATTCTGTAAGATGACTTTCGTGATAATTTTTCATATCCTACAATAATTAGAAAAAAGTTAATAAATATTAAATAAAAAGATAAATTTAAAAAAAAAATTATCTATTAAAATTACTATAGACATATCATTATATTCATTAGCAGATTGTAAAGCATTTTTTGTTTTGCTATGATGCTGTGATAATTAAATACATATATATTAAAAAAAAAAAAACAAATAGACAATAATTAAATAAAAATCATGTTAAATAGAAAAGTTACATTGAATAGATTATTTCGCTAACTATTAGCAGATTGTTGATTTCTCAAATGAGATTGTGGTGAACTATTGGTTTGCAATAATTCTTTTGCTTAGGATAGCGATGAATGCAATGGTTTATAATGAAACTAAAGTAATTAAATATACAATATTAATATAAACATTGAGCAGAAGCATTGTTTTAAAAAAATTATACAATAAGCTACCCTAGTTTGTGGTGGTGTTTTGGCCTGTTGATATCGAAAACAATTATTAAATAGAAGAATTAAATTAATTGTATTAAGAGATTATTAATCAAATCACCTTAGACATATCATATTGTAATGGTTGACTGCAAAAAGATGTAAATGTAGAGATGTTGGAGCAAATGTTTCCAAAGTATCATCAGCTAGGCTTTCTGGAGGTTCACAGGTTTTATTTTTATTTCTGCCACAGCACATGATTTTGAGAAAAATAAAAAAATATAGAAAACAAAATTGACCTTTGATGTGTAGTTCAAATAAAATATATAAATTATGTATCTGATTTTAAATAATAACATATTTAAAGTCTATTTAAAGTAATTGACAAACTTTGCAAAGAAATATATAAATATAAGTTGATCTAATATTTTTTTTTATTTTTTTTTAGTGCTATTACTATGTCTAATGATATTAAGAAAAAAAGAAAAAAAACCAGGACGGATGAAGTTCCAGAAGGAGGAAAAAAAGGCATTATTATTTGTCATTATTGTCTTCAATCTTTTACACGAAGAAATTGTTACTGAAATCATTTAACAAAACACAAAGATATAATTTATGTAGAAGAAAACCAACTTCAAGTATTTTTGAAAGAAACTGAAGTTTTGACAGATACTTAGCATGTAAGAGAACAAGCAACTTTATCCAGCATCTTTTGTAACAATATTAATAAAGCCAATAGAAATAACAATAGAACTAGTAAAACTAGCGAAAATAATAAGATAATTACTCTTGAACATGTTCAACAAGATTGAAACGATACAAAGACATTTGAAGTTGTATCTAATTTTACGATTATATGTAATATAGGCTTATTATACATATTTTAAAGATTTTTAATATTCAATTTATTTTTTTTAAGTATTCGCATTGTTTTATGTTAATCCAACTTTATTTGTCTAATTATATACAAACAGATAAATTATGGCAAATTAATAGT